GGCAAAACGGTACCGTGTCCACCACGAAAGGGCTCGCTCAAGGTTTTTGAAGACCAGGCACATGGACCCCTCGACCCATTTTAAGACGAACAGATCCTTTTGCGCCCAGACGACCCGATCATGGTCCCTTCTGGGCTTTCCGTCGTGTGTTTTCGCGCGATTCGGATTGAAGCCATTCGAACCCACCTGACATACCGTCTCGATCCGGTGCACATCCGTTCAAATCCGTTCAAGGTGTTCCCTGGTATGGTGGGAACATGTGTCCTCACCCAAATGTGGCAAAGATCTTCCACATTCTTGTGCCGATTTCTTTTGGCTGAGTGGTTGAGACCATGACACCCATTTTTTTGTTGTTTTTTGGCTAGGAAAATGGTTGAAAAGTTGGGAAACATAAGACAAGTGGATCGCAGTTGTCAGAGTTGTGACACGAGCCGAGGAGCGGAATGATGTTGAATCTGGGCATCTGGGCAGAAGACTCGAGAAATTTCAACATTTCAAAGGGTTCTGGGAATTCGCTGGCTCATCACCCAGAGCTTCAAGCGAAAGTTGGATTTTTGGCCCCCAAAATGGGCCGCGTTCCATGTCGAAAAAATCCATGGCCCCAGGCATTTTGTCCCTGATCGTTTCTCTGCTGCATCCCAATGATAGCCACTACTCCCTCCACCACGCCTTGGCCAAGATTGAGATGGCGGATGTGCCTCGCACCGTTGGAAAACGTTGGATTTTTGTTCATTTTTTGTTTTGCCCAAGGATTTGGTTTTTGTGTTTTCTTGTTTGAATAGGGGTGAGATTTGTTTAGGTTGTTATGATTATACCTATCGATCATTATCCCATCATTTCCCCTTGATCATTTCAACCGTTGCCCCATGCTTCGGGGAGATTGCGACGGTGATTGAAACCGTCTGGCAACCCAGAGCGTGGAGGGGGTGATGTTGCCAAGCAGGCTGTCAAATCTAAATAGGAACGTTATAACCAAGTAGTCAAGAACAAACAGATTTAACCAAAGTTCTGAAGCAGTGAGCATCAGTCGTGGTTCGTTGAGGTTGCCACCATCTTTTGCTGTATTTTTTACTCCCAAGCGCTTTTGGCCAATTCGTTTGCGTCCAGCGTTTTCCTATCTTCCTGCCTTGCTTTGAAGGTTTGATTTCAGACTTCGGTGAGATTTTGTGTATCTGTGAGATTTGTATTCTCAAACTGAAAAAAGCCTCTGTTTCTTTAGATATTCCCTGTTGTTCTTTCTTCTCAAGATGGCTTCGATTCGTCCCTGCCGCCTGTTCTTCCTTCTGGCTGCGCTGGGCTCCGTTGGCAATGCTTGCCAGCCTTCTCGGCCCTGCCCGAACTGCCCCTACGACTGCTGTGATCGATTTGGAAACTATGTGCAAGACGGTGCGTGCACGGCCGCCACGCCCAACGGTATGCATTGCCAGTGCACCAACGGAGGATGGAGCTACTGCGGCTCTGGACCCCCAGCCAACTGCCGTGGACCGCCGCAGCTGCAGCCGCAGCAGCCGCCACAGCAGTACTGCTATCAGAACGGGGCACCTACTGGACCGGGCGGCTGCCGACCTTTCTTCAATGTACCGGGCAATGCAATGCTCTGCTGCTGCTTCAACGGACAATGGAGCAACTGCAGTCCTCTGCGAGCATCGAAGCTGGTCGAGTCCAACGCCAGTGCTGTGACTGCGGAAGCCACCATTGCTCACGAAGCTGTTGCTGCTACCAGCGAAGACGAGGCGGCCGCCGACGCGACTCCAACTGTGTTGCCTTGAAGCCTTTGAAACCAAGACACTCGCGTCCAATTTTTGTACAGTGATTTTGATTGCCGGGGTCGAGGTGACCTGAGGGCGACCTGGGGGTGTGGCTTATTTGAAGCCTACTACAGATTAGTGGCAACAGACCCCCCTGTTCCAAACATTGGTCTGGTTTTCAGTGATGAACTTTTGACTGAAAACCACAGCAAGATTTTGTGCAGCAGGGCAGAAGTAGCCCTGAACTGGAGCCAAGGGAGATTGGAAAAGAATGAGAAGAGTGGCATTTTGAATTTTGACGGAGAACCCCAGAGTCCTTGCCTTTCCACCCGGACAGTGTTGTATCTGTTTCCACTCGCGCGGCTCGCCGAGGTGATGATGTGGCCACACGGTCATCATCTAGCAAAAGGTTCAAGCCGTTTGAACCAATTTCTTTCCCATTCTTTTCTGGGACATCAGGCAATGCTTTTTGTTTGGGGGCACCATCTGGTAATCAAACAAGGATATGGAAAATCACCATTTTTTACGGGGAACATGATCTATAAATGATATAAATGGTTAATTTTCGGTGCTCTGTGCTGACCATTTTTGGGCGTGCTCTTGGTTTCTTGGGCGGTCTGGAGCGGGTAGGCGAAGGCGGCCGTCGGGCTGGCTCGAAAGGTTTCACCACGAAGGCCAAAAGCAACAACCAAAATCCAGAAACAACACCATTGTTTGAACCAACAAAACCCAAGAAACGAACATCTAAGAATGTCAAGCTTAAAAATATTAACCAACAAAAATCCACCATGTCACCATGGTCATTTTTTTGACTGTTTGACCAATGACAGCCAATATTCATTTCAACCGAGCACGACCAGGCCTTGGCCGAGAAGCTGAGCCAGGTGTGCCCCATTGACTCCGTGGTGGCCCGGCTCCATTAGACATCAGAACTTAGGACAGAAAAAGATCATCAAACGACTCAAATTGAGGAATTCAAGGAATTCAAAAGTCATGAAAAGGACCATGAATATCCATGAATCAAACCAACAATCAGAAATCAACATCAAAAATCCAAGACGAATCATCTTTTCAGAATTCTGAAGCTCCGTTTTTGTGGTCCCAACGTTCCGCCGTGGTTCCGTCGGTCCCTTTGAGGTGGCCATTTTGGTGGGCTTCGCTTCCGCGGTGGTGGACAACGCGCCATTGGTGGCCGGCTCCCAGGGCATGTATGACTTGGGCCAGCACCCACCTGATGTGCCTTGGGTTTTACTGGTGACTGGTGACTGGTGACTTGTTTTTTTGGGGTTGAGAATCTTGAAATTGACCAGAAATCTGGGAAGGGAAGATCTTGAACAGAATCATAATTTGGTGAGTAATGAATTTTCTGATTTGATTTATTATGTCCATATTTTTTTCCATCTCTTTTTTCGAACCCAAAAAGAAATCTCCCCAAAAAAATCCCAGGAGGCGCTCTGGAACTTGATCACCTACTGCGCCGCCACCGGTGGTTCCCTGTTGGTCATCGGCTCCGCCGCAGGGGTGGCCTTCATGGGCATGGAGCAAGGTGTCTCCTTCGGTTGGTACCTGAAGGCCATTGGCCCTGCAGCCTTGGTGGGATACTTCTTCGGCGTGGCCGGCATGATGGGACAACAGGCTGCGGGCCTGGCCGCTCGGCGAATGAATTGAAGGGTTGATGTGGATAAAGGGCGGAGGTGAATTTTTATCAGGAACAATCCTGTTCTTTTTCCTTGATTTCAAGAACTTCGAAAAAGGTTGTTCTGGGTTTTCTTTTCAGATGTTCTTTGTTTCGAGGTTGGGAGCTGTTGGAAGGGCCTTCCAGTTGTGTCATCGTTCTGTTCCAGCTCAGGCACTTGGATCCTGAGTCTCGAGAGACCGGCGATCTATGATCTGATTTCCGCCGCTGTTGGTCACAGCCCAGGGAAAGATTTGTTTGGTTTTGGATGTGAAACGTGGTATTGTTTGGTGTCAGTTGATAATATGTGTCTTTGAGTTTTTCAGTGATCAATGATTTTTTGACATGATTGCCATTACGATCTAACCAACCAGTGATGCAAGTTTCTTCCTTGGGGCTGTGAACAGTGCGGAAGTACAAGTATAGATACTGATCTTTTTGCCATTTTTTTCAGGTTTCGATCAAGGCTTGCAGAACGACTGTCGCCTCCACTGTCTGCGTTTCAGGTCGAGCACTCAATGTGCTCTTGGACCGATCTGAGTTGCAGAATATGCACGGAAGATCATTGACACCATTTGATCATCCCAATAACATGTTCCAAAAGACGAAGGAAACAAGATTTTCTACATTAAAACATCATTTCCACACATTCATGGTAACGTTTGACAACTGGAAAACGAATCATCAAATATCATTTGATAGTAAATAAATGTAAAAAACACTGTTGACTCATGTTGACTCCTTTCAGTTCCAACAAACCATTGCATCATCATTGCATCATAAATGGCTGCGCCTCAGTGGAGACGTCGTGCAAATGAGCCATCCAAACGGGCAAAAACAGGGATGCGACCTGGGGTCAACCAGTCAGGCCTCATTTTCTGTGGTGATGTGTTTCTTGGAATTTTCGTAGACTCGTGAAATTCATTGAAATTGGGTCTTTGAAAAAAAATAACAAATCATCAGGCTGACCAGACTTCATCACCCACCAAGCTTCACCTTCAGGTCTGGCCGTTCCACTGATTTGGCGATGGACTCTCGCACAGCGACCAAGGGAGGAGTCACCAAAAGCTTGATGTTTCGGGCGTAGAGCTTCTGGCGATTTAGATCTTCAGATGTTGGAGC